ATGACACCCTAGAGCATATAAATATGTTAGAGTAGCACTTAATGACAGTGCCCAAAATAGAGGACATCCTCGAGTATAACCATAAGTTAGAGGAGCACTAAATGGCAGTACTCATAAAAGATGACATCCTAGAGCATATAAATGTAAGAAGAGCACTTAATGACAGTACTCATGATAGGGACATCCTATAGCATTTATAGAGTAGCACTAAATGACAGTACTCATGATAGGGACACTTTATAGCATATACTATAATAGAGTAGCACTAAATGACAGTTCTCATGATAGGACACCCTATAGCATATGCTATAATAGAGTAGCACTAAATGACAGTACTCATGATAGGGACACCCTATAGCATATGCTATAATAGAGTAGCACTAAATGACAGTTCTCATGATAGGGACACCCTATAGCATATGCTATAATAGAGTAGCACTAAATGACAGTACTCATGATAGGGACACCCTATAGCATATACTATAATAAAGTATCACTAAATGACAGTACTCATGATAGGGACACCCTATAGCATATACTATAATAAAGTAGCACTAAATGACAATAACCATGATAAGGACACGCATAGCATTTAATAGAGTAGCACTAAATGACAGTGCACATGATAGGGACACCCTATAGTATATTCATCTGAAAGAGTAGAATACTATTTTCTTATACAAAAACACACTGGCAATTGAAATTAAATTTTTTCAATTAAATTTTTATCAATTAAATAAAAAAAAAAATCATTTTATTCAACAAATTTCACGAGTTCTGACGTAAACAGGACTAAATAATAGAAAGCTGCCCGCTTACCCACAAACTGTCTTCTTTCTCGCATAGTTATTCCATTATGCCATCATCACATATATTACCCCAAAATGGTGTTACTTACTGTTAGAGTGTAATTGTATAATACAGTTCATATTCAAAAAACAAATATTTACACACTTATAGCCGACCATATGGTTCTCAAATTGGCCGCAATAAATTGATATATACTGTTATGAAAACCATTCTTTAAATGAACATTTAAATGAAAATATTTCCGATGACGGGATCAGACTTAATATCTTTTGTATACTGTTAAATATTTTTTTCATAACAGTAATCGGTATTGACTTTTACACTGACGATTCCTTTCCGACTTGTTCATACAATAGAATTATCCTGTTGCTAAATAAGTAGCCCAAATCGTTATGAAAACACTCTCCTAGTTACATTAACAAATATTTTTCAAGCTGCTGCACATGTACTGGACCAACACTTTATTGTCTGATTTTAATATCATTTTCATCCTATATGTTAACATTACTCGTCACAAATTTATTGTTTTACTAAATTTAACTCACATTTACTGAATTGTTACCCATTTGGTGTGTTGTTGTATAGTTTACTCCTTTAGGTTTATAGATCAATTAGTCAAGGGTGAAATAAGGCTTAGGTTAAGGTAAGTTACACTAAAATTGCTATGTCACAGATTTTCTTAAAAATTTGCATACAACTTTGGCTCGTTGAACTTTAACAGAAAATCAAAAAAATAATGCATTTATCTCTTTTATTTTCTGAAATATTACTGATTGTATTCTTTCAATATAGGTGAACATTTGTATAGAAAGCACATAAAAACGACTAAAAACGTTCTTAAACTTGTCTTAAAATTAGACGGTAACCCTATTATTATTTTATATTATTAAAACCGAAATTTATGTATCAACAACATAGAATATAGTTTTTTAAGAAAAATCTTTGTAATCGAAATTGGAGATTTGATGATTTTAAGACAAATTTATGAACTTTTTTCATCGATTTTATGTGCTTTCTATACAAATGTTCATCTATATGAAAGAATTCAATCAATAATATTTCAGAAAATAAAAGACATAAAGGCATTATTTTTTCGATTTTTATATATAATTCAACGTTGTATGTCAAATTCTGTGACATAGCCCACTTACTGTTCCTTGACCTTAAGATTTTTGTATAATTCAAAATGTGTCAACTGACAAATTCCAACTTTCTATAACGACTTGGCTTGCTTTGATCTGGACTTCCTATTAAAGGGCAAACAATAAAGGTCAATACGACCGCGTTTTTGTACGGCAAGTTATACATTGAATTTTAGATGCTAAGAAAGTTACAACAAGGTAAATATTAACAATTTTCTCATGCGTAATATTAGATAAGAAAAACAAAGGATATGGTGTATCCATCCATGACACAAAATCAGTTCATGCACAGTAAAATGCATACAAAAAAGCAAAGGAACTGCGCTTTTGTTGTTGTTCTTCATCTCAAAGTCACAGTGAGGACTTCAACACGGAACAAAAAAAAAACAAGCTCATCTCACTGCAAGTTTATGACGGGCCCTCGCATTTCTAGGGGGAATCTAAAAACCGTTCTTTATAGTTGGGCGATCATAGCTGTTTATTTGTCTCCCCCCGATTTTTATCAAATACAAATAATGTGTAAATGAAAAGGCAACAGAAGACACGTATTCAGTTCGGCAATTTATCAAAGCCTATTATTTCAGTGTCAATAACTGAACTACAAAAAACAAGAAATCTTATAAAAATTGCTGTTTTGTCAAAAGAATCGCCTATAGACAAAAACATGTTATATCACACTTTAAAAGAAAAGTTAAAAAGAAATGTATACCACAACGTACCTAAATGGAAAACGAGAATTAAAAGTCTCCTGCACAATCAAAGTTTATGGAAAGTGACATATTATCCACAATATTATACTGTCAATTTTGCGTTCCAATAATTATTCACGGAGTTCATAAAACGTCCTAGATAATCAAACTTCTTGGAACTGAGCACATTTTGAAGTTTACTTCGCAAAATAAGTTGCGACTATTTTACACAACGTCGTTACCCATCGATTTTTTTTAAACTTTAAAAGACGATTTTACAAATATATATGAATATAATCATATTGTTTGTCTGTAAAGATTGCATTTCTATATAGTAGTAATACCTCTTTATAGTCCTTACAATGAGAACTTTAAATTAGTAAAAAGAGCATAAAATTAAAATTTGTACAGGAAAAGAACAGCAGGGGAGACAATATATAGCTTCAGGGAGGAATACCTTTTAAGGGCTTACGTTACAGTTACAGGGGAGGTAATGGCTTTGCTAATGTAAAATGTTATTTTTCACGACGTCAATCTGTAACATATCGGGAAAAGATGCATTTTTTGACTGATTTTAATCATTAGCTTGAAAACGAGTACATTACCCTTCTTTTTTAAAATGACTTTTGGTTTGATTATGTATGAAGATTCTTTGTACCAATTTTTATGAAAAAATCACGTTATGATTATTTTTAATTAGATTCAACAAAATATGCCGTTTTTTTTCTAAAATCATGAAACTTTGATAAAAATGAATTATTTCCAAAGAATTGTTACACAAATTTAGAGCATATGAAAAAATCACCTTATGATTATTTTTAATTAGATAAATATACAACAAAAAATGCCGTTTTTTTCTAAAATCATGAAACTTTGATAAAAATGAATTATTTCCAAAGAATTGTCACACAAATTTAGAGCATATTTAAAAAAAGAAGATTTTCCAAATGTTTTTACAAAAATCCGCTTGTGTTTATCTTTTGAAACAAAAACGTTAGGTATGTCTAGAAGGTCCGGTAAGGGCTTATTTTGGCCTAAAATTTGAAGTACATCTGATGAAAGATTTTTGACTTTTTTTGTCTTCTTCGGTCTATTCAATTAGTTTATGTTAAAGATTTGAATTGATTTGGTCATTTTAGACACCTAAAATCAAGCTTAAATATGAAAAATCTATCAAAAATGCCACAAAACGTCACTTTTCAAATGTTTTTTGTCAAAAACGGAAGTGGCCGCATTCGTGTTCAGTCTTAACCTTTATATGTTATGTATCATCAACAAATACAACATAAGTTCACATATCAAGACTGAACACAAATGCGGCCACTTCCATTTTAGACAAAAACCGTCTAAAAATAAGCACAAATGCTAAAATTGTGAAGATTTTAGTAATTTTGAATGAATTAATGATGCTAGTACCTGATGAATGTGCACTGCGTTGTTAAAAACAGCCCATATTTTTGTAATAACAGTATTCAACTTTCCAATAATTAGCTAAAAGTTTACCTTTTAAACACATTTTTAAAATATTATATTTTAGGGCCAAAAAGTGGTCTTACCGGGCCTACTCCTTTCCAAGAAACCGAAAGTTTAAGTAAGGTCTAAAATTCCGTCCCATTCATTTCTAAAGCACGTTAAGGTATATTTTTTATTGCATATTTTAATTGACAAGGTGAAAGATAGCTTGTATGCAAATTTTCGAAAAAAAATCACCGTGGGATCAAAAATGTATCATATGCCCTTAAAGCGGATGATGAAAGTCAGTGCCCCGTGTTTACCAGTTTTATTTATGGATAATGTCGTAATAACTCAATATAATCTAATCACAGGACTAAAAGGGAGGCGACAGATACCAAATGGATATTCAAACTCAAGTCGAAAACAAACTGACATTACAATGGCAAAGAAAAAAAAAATGAAAACAACACGTTATAAATTTCACGCGTCCGGAACGCTTTTCTGGATTTAACTTCACCAGGAACGCTCAAAAGCGAATATTTGAAAGCCAAGGATGTATAAAAACCGAAACAAAATATGAAAAACGACTAAAAGACAGACAACAGCATACACAACACAACATAGAAAACTGAAGACTAAGCAACACGAACCCCCCAAAAAAACGTTGGTGATATCGGGTGCTCCGGAAGGGTAAGTTGATCCTGCTCAACATGAGGCATTTGTCGTGTTGCTCATGTAAGTACAATCCCGGTGATAAGTCTGATCAGGTTTGTCACATTTACTTACAAGTGAACTGTGATTTATTGCTCACTAACGATACCATCGCTATAGGGGAGAGGAGGATTTTGGAAATGAATATTCTGACCTTGTTAGAACGAAAAAAATATACCAAAATTAATATCACTGATTTTCCGTAAAAACTTTACTGTAGTTAAAGTTTAGATGAAACATTTTTTACTACGCACACAAAACATACTAGTAAGAAAAACTTTACATAGAAGTGTTTGTGGAAAAAATAATAATTTAATTCAAAATGTTCTTGTTTCTTTTTATGTCTGTTAGTCAAATAGTTAACAGATTTTTGTAAAAACTGTCAAATTGCATGGAAGTATGTGATTTTAAAGTTATAGGCCTATATACGGTAACTGTTACAGCATTTTTTTGCAAAATTAACTAAAAGATTTTTTTCTGGCTGTGTTTGGAAAAATTAAATCTGAGATTAACCCAAATTTATGACATGTTCATTGATTTTCAACCATTAATTTACATTCAGGCCATAAATATAACTATGACATATCAGATTTACTTCAAAATATGTTTTTACTAGATATGTAAACAGGTATGGTTATTTCTATCGACAAAATGTGCTAACAACAATGTACACCTACTGGTGTTTTCGACTTTTTTTATTGTGGGAGGGGAAACTGGTGATTTTCACTATTCACTTAATATAAAATGCAACGGTAACACCAACCAAACTTTTGCAGATTATGTATGGACCCCTACCCATTTTATATATCAGGAAAAAATCACAAATGGAAAATTTTGTTGTTACCAGGGTTTACCAAATTGAAAACTGATTTCTTAGAGATGGTCATGGATTTTTCTGATAGACATTTTCTTATCCTTTTATTCTATTATTATTATTTTTAAATGTTTACATTACTCCATTACTTCAATTGTTTTAAATTTGCATACAGAAAACAAAATTGTTCAACTACTACTTTTTGTGGAAGATGATAAATAATTTTCGCGCCTAAGTGAATGGGTTCTTCTTGCAACATTTACAAGATTTATCAAATGGTTGTTGCCTTAGTATCGGAAAAACAATATTAAGTGTATTACTCAGTTTCTTTGAGAAGTCTTTCTTTTTTTATTCATATCGTTGCTTCGACTAAAGGTACAAACGTAGGGTTTGCAAAAATTGCGGCATGTGTCTCTTCTTTTTCCTCTTGAGTATTATTTTGGCTCTCTTGGCTTGAATCACTAGTAAATGTATTGTGTCTAAAATGACGAAACCAGTTTTCTATCCCACTCCGAATAACTGCAGTGTTTTCTGTCTTGTCTGTTTTGTGTGCGATGGACCAGAATTTCTTAAAAGTAAGGATCTCCAAAGTTTTTAATGCTTTCTGTCTCTGTCTGATCATTGTCAGTACACTTTTGGCGTCTACTACCGTCTTGATATTGGAGTACCGCTTATAGCAAAGAACTTCTTTCTTCCTAATATCACTTTCCGATTCAGGTGTAACTACAATAATCATTGGGAAAACAATACAAAAGTTATTTTTCCGATTAAGGAAATGAACAATATTGATTAACATTTATTTTGAAACCACAAGAAAGAAAACAAATTGCGTACCACATAATCATTAGTTCTTTACATACATTATTTTCAGATTGTTCGTAATAGTCTCAGCATGATATTTTTCCAATAAGCAACACCACTATCAACCATTAATGTTTGATTATGACTATCAACGTTACGATATTCTAGCTTTATACACACTGAATGTACAAGTCCAGAAAATGTTTGGAAGTTAAAAAATCTTCGCAATAAAATTGTATTGAATAAACTCATCTATGGGAGGTAATAGAAAATGCAATTACATGACACTTTGATAAAATTGATTTTGACTTCAATCTGATTAAAATACATACCTTGTAAGCAACACGTGCAGACGTGGATATAGAATATGTATTTCGTTCAAATTGTTTTAAATTAAACAAAAAAATATCGGTTGTGTGGCTGATCATATTAAATGATGGTAAATATGATAGAAATCTGAAGTACTGAACATCGGATGACCGCAAGTTCTTGTGGATGGTCACAAGCACTTGTCTCAGAAAAAAAATCACATCTCTATACCTGAAAGTGAGGTTTATAAGGTACATAAATATATTTTTTCTGAGACAAGTTCGTGCGTGGATGATGAATAAATGACAGGGAATTCAACCTCACCGTAATAACTATTATATTGTAGTGATACAAATCAGTATACTCTGGTTTGTTGTTATATATTATATTAATATTTGTATATAACAGTTACATGTATAACGTTATATAATTTTCATCCATTTGTATATCATTCTATTCTACTATTCTTATAATAGTGCAGTGCAAGTGCATGGTGGACACTCTTCTGTAATAATTTGATTTTTAAATTTTCTAATACTAGTAGATTGGATTTGAGTAGGCATTCATATTTTCCCGCAAAACGTTCTTGGGATATTCTTCTGCATGCGCCAGTTAACACAAATTTTCGGTATTCTTGATTTGTTATTGATATATATATTTCTCACGACAAAGCATTTTCATATCATTTATATATAACAAGCGATAAGGAATGTTAGGTTGTCAGTTAAAAATGAAAGTCACGTGGGTAGAAATGTCTGTGGCAACAATACACCGGAATGCCCTCACGGTCATTTGATGTAAAAAGCCAACGAATACTTGATGAAATTGTAAAGCAAAATAGTGTTCTATGAAACATTGTCCCCAAGACAATATTTCATGACTTTGTATCATGAAATTTTGTCCCCATCTATGAAATAATAAATGTCCAGGAAATGAAAAATTTCGATATAAAATTTTGTCCATATAAAATTTCATAAAAAAAAGAAGTATGAAATTTTGTCTTGTTAAATTGAGATTATCCAAGGTTATATATTGTGAATATTGAGACAATATTTCATAGATGGATTGTCATGAAATTTTGTCTCATGAAAGGGAGGTTATAAACATTTAGTACCTTTGGTAATGCTATCATCAAAGTGTTTTATTTGGTTGATAATAACAATAAAACCTGCATGATAAGTTTATGCAGCAATTTATGGTTATACACATACCTTTCATGAAAAATATTTAAAAAAATTCCAGAAATGCTCACATTTCCATGGCAAGGATTTCACAGTGAAATATTGTCCAGAAGGAGGTGACAAAATTTCATGGACAAGGACATATCTCATAATGAAATATTGTCCTGGGCAGTAATTCATTATGAAATAGTGTCCGCAGACAATATTTTATATGAAATTTTGTCCGACGGACAATATTACATGGGGGATACTATTTTATGTCACAAAATCACTTACTGAATGACGTAATGGCTAACATTTCCAACTTTTTGCTATTAAATTCTTCATGTAGAGATTCCATACTGACTTCATTGTTCTTCACAGCCTGCACGAGATTTTCTATTTCACTTTCCATTTGTACTATTTCATTCTTTTTTCGTCGTAATTTCGTTTCTGTTCTTCTGAAATGAAAGATTTTTTAGCTGGGGCTTGTTATATTGAATTTACTTACCGTGAATTTAAGGGAACTTCCATTTATTATTTAGGGGGGGGGGGGGGGGGGCTAAGATGAAAATCTTTGTCCTGCATTTTTTCTAGTTGTAATCTCTGTCCTGCCTTTTTATTTTTCACTATTCGGTCCTGTCTTTTTTTTATTAGTTTATCCTGACTTTTTTTTACATAAATTGTCATCCTGCCTTTTTTTTTGGGCCAAGTTGCTCATCCTGCCTTTTTTTTTACTCAAAACTCCTGTCCTGCCTTTTTTTTCAAATTTCATCCTAGCCCCCCCCCCCCCCCCCCCCCCAAAAAAAAACCAAATGGTAGCTCCCTAAGGGTCGTCACAATATAAAGCCATATGATATCGTTCACTTTGATTCCGATTTATTGAATCTATCAGATATCATACTTAAGATAAGGGTTCATTAACTGTTATGTTTTTTCTCTAGGGTAGAGTAAGATTTTAGAAATTAGAGCAAGACTTAGCTTTGCGGTAAGGTATGGGTAAGGGTAGGGTTAACTTATTATAGCTATATGGGCTGGGACTACTAAGGTAAATGAAGGGCTAGTGTTAGGTTAGGTATTGGTCAGGGTGAGGTTTAGGGTTAAGGATAGTTTATTGCAGCTCTATATGGGAACAGGCGGCATTTCATCGTTGACCAAGAGCATTCGAACATACGCCAAGTTATCAATACGTGTATAATATATTATTTATACCTGTATTTCCTGAGAGCAGAGTTCAACTTTCGCCTGGTTTTCCTAACATTTTGATTTATAGACGCATCAGAGTTTGATGATGACGAAGACGTTGATTTAATCACTTCGCTTTCTTTCTCTTCATTTATCTCTGATTGGTCTGTTTCAGAATCGAGTAAACTGTCAGTAGATACTTCCTTCAAAGTTGCAGTCGCCACACTTTCGTTCAGATGTGAATGTTTCATCTTTTTTCGACGGAACAACTTCTTCATTAGGGACATTCCAACAATGCAAGTTCCAATACCGAGAAATGTTAGCAGCAGTATTTTATCAGTCATAGATTTTCATCGTCTTGTTAACCTCATGATTTTGTCTGTTAATGCTCACATTATGTTTGTCAGCTATTTTTAACTGACGTCATGAATCCGCGAAACAAACGTCCAGTAATGTGTGCCATGCATGACTTCAGGTTACAAATAAAAAATAAGGTATTTAGTCCTTTTTATTTATGAATTTTACGTTTTCTTTTATTCATATTCAAATGAATAGGAAACTTGCTAAATAAAACCATATTTCAACGCAAAAAAAAAATCTCGCAAGCTTGTATGACAGCCATTCATACCACCTCATGCTGATCTTTTACGGTGTTTTCATTTGTTGGTCTTTCCTCTTTTACTGTAGAGAAACAGCTTTGGTCAATATAAGACGCCCGAGAGAGGTTTTCAATTTACAATTGTCTGTATAATGAAACGATGTAAATAATGAAAATGAACATAAGACAGCTTTGGCGTGTAATTTACGAACATACTTTATCAAATGTAATCTCCATTCATTTAGTCATAATACCTGAAAGTTTTGGTTAGCACAAGACTCATACGAATCCATGACAAATCGCCCCACTGGCAATCGCCCCACTTTTTCACCAACTCGCCCCACTTCCTAAAAAATCGCCCCACTCTTGTTTACCAACTCGCCCCACTTATGAAAAGGGTAAAACCCCATTGAAAATAGGTTGGATAACTTGCCCCACTCATGAAAAGGGTTAAAATCCCGCTGAAATAAGGTCTGCCAACTCGCCCCACTCATGACAAATAGATAAACCACGATGAATTTAGTAATGACAACTCGCCCCACTTATGGAAAAAAATGCTATCCCGTTGTGTATGTTCCTGCCACTTATAAATAAAATCAATACACATGAAAACCTTAGATAAACATCTTTTGTAATTCTTTTCTTTTTGTTTAAATAAAGAGAAGGCGCTGGTGATCCATGTTTTGTGGACATAACTGACGAACTTCTGCAGAACTGGGTCAGTTACATGGCTGGTCAGCTCTCTAAATGTTGAATCGATGTGACTAGCTGGTAATAGTGGTAAAGCCATGATGTTGCGACAGAAAGTGAATACATCACCCCATCTGTTGTAGGAAAACTGAAGAATAAATTATAAAAATTAAGTCTGTGACATATTCAAATTTACATTAATTATGATTAATTTACAAATCAATATCAAGTAACTGATCTAATCGGCTTTATGTCTCATTGACAATTATAGCACATTGCTTTGTGTCTCATGGACAATTATAGCACATTGCTTTTTATCTCATTGACAATTAAACTTGATTTATTGTCTGACGTGGTCAGTGATAATAATAATAATAATAATAATAATAATAATAATAATAATAATAATAATAATAATAATAATAATAATAATAATAATAATAATAATAATAAAATAAATAACATAATAATAAATATTCAAATAATATATTTTTAAATAATAATAATAATATAAAAGAATAATTAAGAATGACAATCTAAGGCGAGTTAAATACACTCTAAAATTCATATGTTTGGTTAGATAATTCTGTAAACATACATTATTGACAATATATTTATATAAATAACACTTTGATGAAACGTTCAGTTGATCATTCAAAGTCTGTTTTGCTTGATCATATATCCTTGTTTTTACAAATAATAATAAATTTGTATCAATAATCAAATTGTCTTGGTTATACCAGATCTCATTTAAACCTAAGTTAAATAATAATTGTTGTAGTTGATAAATCCAACTGCTTCTAATATTACAGAAATTATACAGTTGTTCCCTGTAGCAGTTTTTAAGAATACAGTTGCTTGTGGATAACAATTTTAACCAGTACTTCACTATTTTGTACATTCTAAAATATATCAAAGGATATCTACCCAATTCAAAATAAACCATAACATTTGTTGTACATTGTTTGACACCTAATATGTTTTTGCAAAAATCAAGTTGTATTTTTTCAATATTTGGAGCTTTATGGAAGCCCCATATTTCACAACCATAACATAAAATACTGCTAATGTAAGTATCAAATAAATTCAAATATGTAAAAACATTCAAATACAATGACGAAACCTTCGACTTTAAACCAAAAACAGCTTTTCTACTTTGCTCAGCTAAATGTTTTTGAGCTTTAAAGGGAAAATTCGCGATTTTTCACTTATCATCTTATTATGTTCATAATACCATCAAAAACATATTCACCAAGTTTTATTTGGATATGAAAACTAATAAAGAAGAAAATTGGGAATTATTAATTTTATCTATTCGAACTTCCTGACTTCTGTGACGTAGTTTAAGTCTTTTTGCATGCCGGGAGTTGAATTAATCTCATTTAAGTCTTGTTCGTTAACCATCTAATAACGCGATTTAAAGCGCATCGACGACTTTTGGTGTAGCTATTAACCAACTAAAAATAAAGAAAGTAAAGTGATAGCCGTGCAACTTTTAAAATTAAATTGTAGGATTTATGTTTTAAGGATTTTTGATACGAATTTTAGTAATAAAAGTAAATCATACAATAGAAAATTTTTATGATTTTTTTTCCGACAAATACCTTAAACAAACATATGAAACTGACATGATTGATAGTGTATTAAAAATACATGTTTGTATTCTGACCTTTTTGCTTCAGTCTAGCAAACATTTCCTGCTTGTACTGTGTAAATACTATGTGTATTGTTCTGTGACACTTAGTGAATGTTGAATGCGTGGTTAAACTCAAGGTAATTAAAAGATTAGCATTCTGGAATTCTAATCTTTTGATCTTCACCAGAGACATATGTCTCTGTCTTCACTCAGTGAATTTTAGCCGTCACAATTCACCGTTCCAGGTGTGAACAACATTTCGTATGAATGATAAACGGGAGTGATGTTTTTAGACACAGAAAATATAAAAAAGAATTAAAATTAATTTAGGGGAGTAATAAGGTGGCACAATAACTGGATAGCCGTTGTATATTTTTATATTTTGCGTAAGCTCAGTTTTAAATGAATTATGACCGCTGACTATTTTTGTAACCATGAAATACTGAATTAATTTAATTGAATAAACTTATAAATAATAATAGCCTTCTAAACACGAGTGTGTGAACTAAAAATTGTACTATTTCAAATTAGAATCGGTAACCTTGAATATTTGAAATAGATCATTACCAATTGCAATTATATAATTTGGTCCATCCAAAGCGATCTTTATTTACATATTCAGGAATTAATGTTCTCATCAAAATATTTTAAATCTCACAACTCATAAATACTTCAGCTATTTAAAAAAAAGATGTTTAAAAATTTGACAGGAAATTTAAGGTCCTTCTTGGAATGGAATCGAATAATTACGAACAAATATTCTTTTCAGGTGTGAAAAACATAAAAAAAAATTATACATAATCGGGAATGTCCTTATTAAAAGTCTCACAACGTATAATACTTTAGCTATTTGACCAACGATGTTTAAAAAAAAAGACAGAACCAATTTAATGTCAACTTTCCCTATTTTTGAATGGAGACAGACCGGCGGAATAAATTTTCAATGTGCTTTATATCTGTTATTTAATACCAAGAAAGAAAAAAATCCCGAAATTAATTTGATACTTTGATACTGAATATTTTTCCTGAAAAATATTCACATCCCCTTTCGGTCTGAAAATAAGATAAAAATGTGGTATACTGAACATGCAGAAGTGTGAATTAATGTCATAAAACCTTGTTATATCAGAAACCACTATAAATGTGAAACTGTATACGTAAGACCTCAAAGGACGACACCTAACCTCATACAGGTAATATACAAGTAGCTCTGTTATATCCGGAAATGTCATGGTTAATCACTACCGATACAGAATGTACCAATGCAAAGAAAATTCTGATGATTGTGAAGCATGACAATTCACGATTTTAGAGGAGTCAACAACCTGGGAACCATAAGTATATCTAACAATGTTAATGTTCCTGCATGCCCAAATAAAAAAAAAAAAGAGGAAAAAAAAAAGCAAGAGATGAACGGTAAGTCACATCAGATTCAGATATTTATATAGTTGATGTTGTTAACGAGAGATGCAAAGTGACATGTCTCTGCGTTAACTGATAAGAATAACAGGAAAGTATAAACTTGAAAAAAATAGATTGATGATGAATAATATGCGGCACCCCTTTTTATCAAAGCGTACCGTCATTCATGTATTATAATGACTGTCCGTTATTTCTATTAAGAATGACAATTGTACGTGAAATCCTATAGATAGTGAGACTTTTTTTACCAGATATGCGACTTTTCGTATTTATGTTTTTTCTCATGTTACTCTTATTTAATATTTTATGCATAAGTGCAATATTGGGAATGGCTTATTCACCAACAATCTAACGTAATAAATTAATCAACCCTCTAGCTGTTCAGACGTTAATACGATATTCGTTAATACATTTTTGTACAACTACTATCAGTCTATCCGAAGTGAAGTTTCTTTATTTCTTCAAATAGACTTTTTGGGGATCATTAGTGCACGTCCAGTGGCATATATATTACATGCATGTCGGAACAGGAAATTTGGCATAAGGTACTTTCAGAACCATGTTCACATTATTATACATTATACCCAACAATTGTGATGATGACGAATTTCTTCAACTGTTCGAGAACAATCTAATTGATTCTTCTTCTTCTTCTTTTGGTATACAATATTCCATCGACATCCGATGATTACATACTGTTCGCATACGTGGACTATTTACAAATTTTTTACCCCAATTTAAACAAAATGTATGTTTCTTTCTTATATTCAATATACATGTATATATTTTAAATTGCGACTATCTATAGTTCCGTAACTTTCTATCCAGGCGTATAAACCAATGATCGACAAGTGCGTACATTTTTGTTAAATCAATATTTCTTGTATGTTTCAAAATGTCCTTCATTATTGACAACGAGTATATACTTACATTTTCCCCAATTTACCCTTGGAAAAAATATGTAAATAGATTTTGATTTTATCAAATCTTTTTTTGGAAATATTTAGATTTTCATAAATAATATTCTTTACACCAGAAATGTTATTTATAAATAAGCGTATGAGTTTAGTTATGAC